AACATTGCTGTCCTCAAAGTCTTTTATCCTTCAGATACAGATTGAGTCTGTGTTTAGTGATTGTTCAGTTTTATATTTAGGTCTGTGCACTCCTCATTGCATTGGACTCCACATACAATGTTATTTAGTGTTTGGCTGTTTTTGTGAGTGTTGCTGGGTCTGAAGTGCACTGGGATGTTGTGTTTGGACAAAATCCTTGTAGACACTCCAGATACATTCATGATGACGATGTTGTTCTGCCTGTTCTTTTCTTTTTGATGTCTGTTTTCACGTCTCGTTTCTGACTTCATAAAAGGACCATAAAGGTTTTCTTTTTATGTGTCTGCTCTTGTCTTACTAGAGACATTCACAGTTTGATGGCTGTAGGTTCTGATAATCCCCAGCTTATGTTCCAGTGGACAGTGGGAGCCAAACAGCAAGTGTTGGTCTGAATGTTGAGACTTCAGTCCTTCTCAGTGCTGCTTTTTTTTTTTTTTGGACTACGCTGTGCACACTGAGGAGCACAGACGACTCAACCTTTAAGTCTACAAGCAACCCACACTTGGACCAACACCTGCTGTTTGATTCCCACCACCTTCTGAAATAATAAGCTGGGGTTTACCAGAACCTGACAGCACCGGGCTGAGAATGTCCTTCACAAGACAAAGGAGGAAAGACACACTAAGAAAGCACATAAGACCTGTGGCTATTTCAGCTGGACCTTCATGAAATCAGAAAAGAAATCTGGGGGGGAAAAAAAAGCACGAAATCAAACAGACAAGAAAAGAGCAGATGTATGTGGCTCTGAAGGATTTTGTCCAAAAACAACATCCCACTGCTCAGGACAAAACTCAGCAGTTCGTCTTTATCTAAAGGATAAAGACACGACTTTGACTACAGCGATGTCCACATTCTGGATAACTGAGACAGTTTGAGAGAGAGCTGAATGAAGCCATCTATGTTAAACTGTGACATCCATTTCTAAACAGAGGGCGGGGCTCTGCAGTCCTGACACCCGCCCCTTCACAGTTTCACAACCATTCACACCTCGAGTCATGTGAGTGATAATCAATACCTGGGAGTCGCCGCCAATCAGTCAGAACTGATGAATGGCTCTTGATGAATGGCTGTTAACTCGCTGCTTCTTCATGTCTGAGTTATTTTTCCCCACTCAGGCATCCTCGCTGCAGCCCGTTCAAGACCCTGCGAGTCCTTCTGGTGTTTGAGAAGCCAGTGGAGCTGTGGGCCCAGCTCATCACGATGGGAGGAGGTCCGTCTGTCCGGCACTTTCAGGCAGAGAAGGACAGCTCTGGTACAGAATCCACGACATCTTATCTAAGTAATGCACATTGTATAAATATTACACTATTTCATTTACTCACAGTCTGCTTTCCCTTCGTCTGTAGACATTCCTGCTGGCAAGTACGACGTTGTGGTGGCGGATGTTGCCTGTCCGCCGTTGGTAGAGAAAAACGCAACATCACAGGAAGTCCCGCTCGTGTCCCCCGAGTGGCTCATCCAGAGCGTCATCTGCGGGGAGCGCCTCGGTTTCCGTAGCAAGCCTCAGTATCGCCACGACTACGCCTCATAATCAACCAGACTCCACAATGTGCAAAAATGCCTTCGACCAAGTTAAATGTTGAGCGTTAGTTCTGTTGCATGCCTCTGCTGTATATAACTTTATCCTGTCTGTTTTTAATGGGATAATAAATTGTGATCCTTGTTTCATTTTAACGGATGTCAGTTTATTTTACATGGTTCATGCTACAAGGTTTTAGTATTTACAGTATATACAAGGTGTTTGATAGACAAAGAGACAGATCACCCAAACTACAAACGACATTTTCTCACTAAATTCTAGTGGTGCTTTAAAACAGAAAAAAACAGCTGCAGTTAATCATTTTCATTGTTGATTAATCAGTTATTTTCTAAACTAAGTGATCAGCTGTTTTTCCTATAAATGTAAAAAAAGTGGTGAAAAATGTCAGTCTGTAACGTCCTCGATGTCTTCTGTCAGCAAACCAAAGATATTCTGTTTTCTCTCATAAAAGGAAGGAAACCAGAAAATATTCAAGTTTAAGAGGAATTTTTGCCTAAGAATTTACTAAAGTCAGCTATTCTATTGTCAAAAGCGTTGCCAATCATTGTAATAGTTGACTAATTGATGAACAGCTGGCACAGTTGAAAGGCATTTATGCTAAGCTAAGCTAATCATCTCTCAGACGTGACTGTGGTTTGTATGTTCTCATTTAACTCAGCAAGAAAGCAAAAAACTGTTCCTTAAATTAGATATTCAAAGTAATTTAAGTGCTGTGAGCTCAACAAACCAAATCTTGTTCATTTTTCTTGTACTGAAGTAGTTCACAAGCGAATATTAGATCATCTGTGCACAAAACTGGACACCAATAGAGTGAAGTGAGAAAATACGGTTTGTCATTTGGGTGCTTTAAGTTTGTAAAGATAATTTTAAATAGACATGCCACACTATCAGTGTTGTGGTGATGGGAGCTTCTTCTGTTCAGTTTAGCATTGATGGCTGAATCCTAATGCTTCGTGCTCTTCTTAAACACTGCAAAGAAAGAGTATTTTTAGATTAGCCATAGCACATGTTATTAACTATCTCTCTAATTAATTTAAGAGATAACAGAGTGTTATTGTGTCCTACCTGCCCAGCGTGCCTCCAGCTTGGGTGTAGTATTTGTTGTAGTCCAGTCGCAGTAACAGCTGAGCCAGATCTGAGTTTATCTGATGGTTCCTCACACTCGAGAGGATTTTAAACAGTAGAGATGATTGGCGTCTGAAACCCTAAAAATGTTACAGCAGCAGTTTTATTAAAGACGTCTGTCTGTGGTCCAACATTAGATACATAAATAACAGAGTCATTGAACTGCACCTTGACCAGGATGTCCAGCTGAGCAGTTCCTCTCTCGTCCAGAGCAGCGACAGTCTGACTGACCAGCGAGCAGAAGTTATGGCAGAGCTCCAGGATCTCATTCAGGCAGTGAAACACCTGAAGACGGAAGCATTGATGGGTGATTCTTATTATTAACAGGATGAATTTTAGCTGCAAACAAAGCTCCATTCGTGGTTCATACCGGCTTCAGGAGGATGAAGGACTGGGCGAGCAGGTTGCTGAGAAAATGGTCGTGGGCCAGTCTGATGCTCTCGAAGTCTCTGGTGGAGTTGATCTGCTGAAGCAGCTGAGAGAACTGAGACTCGAGCACATCCACCTGCAGACAAACAAGAAAACCACTGATTCATAGCTCAGATCATCAAGGTCACAGGCTCAAATTTAAACTGAACAGGATTTAAAGACGGATAAATAAAGCAACATCTTGTGTCTGAAGCATAAACCTGCAAACGTGTGCACTGTTTCATGAGATTTCTAAAGTTGTGCACAGTTTTTGGTTGATACATTTCAAAAGTTGTGAAGTTGTGCACGTACAGAAGTCTGATTTCTGCTCCCACATTCAGTCATAGGTGGACCTAGGCATTGTAAAGTCTTTCAAAGAATGGCTAAGAAGATGCACAATGTCATTTTAGGACATCACCAGCATCAGCAACATTGGCCCTAAATGACATGCAGATAACACCTACTAAGCTCAAAAGACTTACGGCTTCATTTGAAAATGTTAAAGAAACATTGAAGTTTGATCATGAAGTTTTCTTAGTTTGCACCTGCCAATCGGCCACAATTGATCTTCGAACCTTTAGAGAGTTACTTTCCCATCCAGATGAAGAGGAGTATCTTAAAAACGGCAGGAAGCATCTCTAAATTACTGCATTATTGGAAAAACTGCTTCTGACTTATTGTTATCTTCCGGAGCCTGGTGCTTATCTCTGTGGATTACATGTAACGATGAGAGGCACAACCTGAAAAATGGAGTGTATGTATTTTTAGTACTGTTACCTGCAAGTAGTACTGCAGGTTGTCAATCAGGAAGGCCATGTGGTTGCGTAGCCTCCACTTCACAGCGTCCGTCTGGCTGGACTTGAGGTGTTTCCTCTGCATCTGTAGAGCCCAACAGTGCTGCAGCTGAGACTGAACCCTCCGAACACTGAGCAGGTACCTGAACACAACGTTGTACCTGAACGCACACGGGAGGAAACAAACAGGAGGAGAGGACGGTGACCAGGTGTGCTCTGAATAAATGAATGAAAGCTTCAACAAGGAGAGGACATGAACACACTTCTCCAGGACAGCAGGAGTGAAGAGGATGTGCAGCGGCCACTGGACCTTGTAGATGAGGCCGAGAGCTGCCCAGCCAGTTGGAGGAACCTCGCGGGGAGACGTCTCCTGTGGAGGAGTGGCTCCGTCTCTGGGGCCCGACGCCTCTGAAAAATAATAACCAAATGGTCCAATTACAGAGATAACAAGAATAAATAATTAAATTCATTCAGTGAGCGGTCAGATAATCATCCAGCAGCATGTGAGAGGATTCACAACCTCTAGTGGACTCAACTGATCTCTCCAGTGCAGATACACAGTGTTTACGTCAGAGATGGTGTTTAAAGTACGCTCCAGTCAAGCTCTGGAACAATCTGGAGGAAATGTGTTCAGTTTGAAAAAAGAAGATTGTTTCTGAATTCTGCAGCTAAAAGGGAATTTAGTAAATCAGGTCGACTGTGTCGGTGTCTCTTCATAAAACACACGTTCACTAAGGAGCCTTTCTTGATTGTACTTGAGTTCTAATTTCCTTGGAACCACATTAAATTCCTTTTAATAATGTTTTCACCCTTTACAACACGGTATTGGTTTAAACTTTTGAAACCTGATGATTTTATGACTTGTCTGTTTTATTCTGCTGCCTTGTAAAGCCCTTTGTGACTTGAACTGTTGTATCCAGTAAGAAGTGAACCACCGCTGTAGCCTGTGAGCCCAGCTACAGCTGAAGTTACCTCCCCAACCTCTAATTCTGCTTCATACTGCAGGTCCCTGAACTAATAGTGGCTACTTGCAAGTACCTAAAAAGCAGTTGTGACATCAAATGCTGCTCCTAGCAACGAGCCTAAAACTTTGATTGTAGCTGGGCACAGCATCTATGTGAAACTGGAAAGACCATCCCTCAACAGAGATGGAGGTCTGAGGCATCATCTCTCACCTGTTTACAATTCAATCATAAGAACTCTCCTCAGGAAGATGAAACCCATTCACACCTAACCACAAAAGACCCTAACGAACCCCATTGTGGCAGGGGGAGCATCAACGACTCACATGATGAGGGGGAGGAGCAACAAACCCCCTGACTGAAACCAAACTCAGGTGTTAATGGCTCCTGTAGGATATAAGTATCCGGAACTCCCAGCTAGTCAGTCAGAGCTGAAGAAGCGTCTTGGATGAGAAGTGACATGTCCTCAAGAAACGCAAGGAAGTCCATTTGCTTTGATAAATCTACGAGAACAACCATGAGCTGGATGACTAAGAACCTTCACAGACAAGGTAAGTGTTTATGCTTTTAAAATGACAAGTTGTTGTTGTAAATAATTGTTTCTGCAGAAGCTGGAAGGTTTAATGTGATTTTAAAGTCAGTATCTAGAGAACATACAGAGAACAGATGAGTCCATCCTCCAGAACAGTGTTGGAGCTACTGAGTAGATAAGGGCTGTAGCTTAACTTTGAAATATTCTGATCATGAAACCAGAGGACAGTGCTAAACATGAAAACGTAGATGGTTTTTGCCTGAATTCACACAATATGAACATGTGAACACACCTTTGCTGTCTTTGCCCTGGTAGTCGACTGTGAGGTGCAGCAGAGGCAGCAGGTTGTCGTCATCCAGCAGAACCTTATGAGCCGCCTGCTGAAAGGCCACATTTACATCTGTGGAAAACAAAGCATATGGCATTAAACATGGAGCTCACTGGTTTAAGATGAAACTTTATTAACCCCCCCCCAAAAAATCTTTAAATTTCAAACAAATGAAAGATGCGTCTATCTGCTGCTGTTAAGTGCACTCAGATATTATTTTTCATTCATGAGTTTTTCTACAAAGTTAAATTTTTTTTCCTTAAATTAATTTAGGACAGATAGTTGACAGATTTTCTAAATTAAAAATAAGTGCAGTGCAGACAGAGTGCAGATGTTCATTTTAATTCAGGAGTTTGGCATCTTCTTGCATATATACCTGTATATAAGAATGATTTTTTAAATTTTAAAATTTTTTCGATTTCATCCAATGCAAAAGAAAGGAAAAGAAGAACAACATGATATTACCATTAATATCTGTTGATCACTAAGCAAAACTAATACCTCATGAGCAATACAGTGTTTAAGTTGCTGCAGCTGAACTGGATTAAAGATTTTTTTTTTAATTTTCCAATTTGAGTTCACTGTGCAAAGCTACAAATCATTATTATTTAACAAGGTGATAAGAAATCAAAATATTAGTACTTGCATAAAACGTTTATATTTTTCTAAACCAAAATGAAGTTAACAGTAACATAGTGAATCAGTGACATGATGTCCAGTCACATCTCAGCTGTTGATGATTTTATTTAAACTTGACCAAACATGTGATCAAACATCAATTATACTATTTTTATGTGTGTATTTTGTATGTAGCATGAAATAAACACTGGATCAAATCTCCATTACAATGCAAAAAATAAATAAAACTGTTACAGGGATCATATTCAGTATCTGCATGTCAACATTTACCGTGTTCAGTGACGGCTGTTGGAGGCGTCTTCAGCATCTGTTGCGCGAGATCAATAAAAACCTGGTAGAGTTCTCCACGACCCAACAAGTAGAAATCTTTTATGATCTGGAGGAAAAACACAAATGTCAACAGTGTTCAGGTCTCAGTGATATATAATCCAGAACTGTGTGATGAATACAAACCTTCAGTTGTTCGAGCAGATCCGACTCTTCCACCATCAGCGTCCAGAGATGCTGAAAGTCAAACGGGGATGATGAGGATTTGATTCTTGCAGCACTGTTCATGGTAGCTCAGTTCGGTTGTTATTTTAGTGAAAGAAGAAAGAAGACGAGCTCACCTCTGCCACTGTGCTCCTGATGCGATCAATCAAATTTTCAAAATCCACCAGGCTGAAAAGCGACTGCTGTTTGAGTCTGTGCAGCTCGGCAGCAAACATGTCCTCCTGGTGCTTCAGTATGGAGCCTAAAATGACCAAAACAATGTGGGTTTTATTGTTTTTGTGACGCAGAGAAAGAGGTGCTACAACAAGACTTCTCTTAGATCAACAATACTGTACCAGCTCTAGACGGGCTGTGGTTGTGGTTTTCAAACATCTGAACCGATTCTCCCACAAAGAGGATTTTCTCAGCCACTCGGATGGGGATGTAAGACGGCAGCATCTCTGTTCGCAGGGAGAACTGCTGCAGAGATGGAGCCAGCATGTTCTCCTCCTCGATCAGCCGCTGCACGACAACAAAGATGAACACCACCACCAAACATTACAAAAATAAGTCTAGAGTTGGTTGTTGGTCTGCAGCTCTCACCAGGTCCTGTAACTCTCTGAGCTGCTTCCCGCTCAGACCTCCCAGCCCCAGATCTTCCTCTTCCTCTTCCTGGTTGGCAGCAGCTCCTCCTGCACTGGGACCCTGCTTCACAAAAAACTCCTCGCTTTGGTCCAGCAGCAAACCGTGCAGCATCCAAGCTGCAAGCTGCTTGTACATCACACCGTGGCACACTGCCAGAATCCTGCAAAATATACAGAATCATAAACACAAATTTAGTATTTTGTCTCAGATAGAGGGCTTCAAGTAAGTTCCAAGTTACCTTATTGTATTGTATAATATGATATCATCGTTTTAGCTGGACCAAAAAATGAAATGATACCTTCCTGCCTTTTGATCTTTACTAGTTTACAAACAGAAGAAACTTACTTTTCTAAAGCCATGCGAACAGGAGGAAGCCCCCCACAGCTGTGCTTGTACACCGTCTCCAGGATCTGACAGCCATGGATCTAAAGCAGCACAGACAGCTCTGTTAGCAGGTGGTGCTAATCGCTTTCACAAGGAGCTCCTCCAGCAGCATAAAACCTTTTGTTGTCTTATGTAGCCAATAGCCAACTATTAGTTCAAAAGTCTGGTGTTTACACTTTTATACCTGCTAACTTGCTAACTCATATTCTGCTGAATAACTTCTATAAACAATTCTTACCTTCTGTGATTTTATCGTCTCCACCACCACCATCACAGAGGGAAACAGCAGCTGAAACTTTTTTAAAAAGGTACAGTGTTAAACAAACTGATATGTTCAGTTGTGGAAAAAACTTTGAAAGGAGAGTCACTTCGTTCTTAAACTGATCTATTCAACAGTTTCATGAATTCTTTACCTGGTCAAGCTTATAATTCACATGAGATATTGTCAGATGTGGATCTCCAAGGAACTGAAACACAAACACAAGTTATCTTAGCATCATCTCACATGTCACTTGGTTCATTGTTGTTGGCTGCATTATCATTTTACCTCTTGTTCGAGGTCCAGCAGGGCCTGTCTGTAGGGCTGCAGCATGGAGTCCAGGCCTGTGCAGAAAGCCCGCAAGTAAATCCCATGAAGTCCAGTCTGGTTGGGCTGGTTCGCATGATGCTCCTACAGAACAGATCGTGAACAGATGCATGTTTTAAAAAATGTTGTTCATTAATTTAAGTAAGACTTACAGACAAAACAAAACACAATCATAATTGAAGACAAGTCAGGAAGATTTATAATTTGATTTAAGTTGGGTGTTTTTTGAGTGCACTAACACTATTTTTTTTTATTATTAAAAAAAAACTATATCTGAGCTAGGTTAGAGTACTGTGCATTAGATATAGCAAAAACATAACTGAACCAATGCAGTTAATTTGCGTAAAATGTTCTTATGTGGCGTTAGGACTCACTTGTTGATGAACATGTCCAGTGTGTTGTTCTATGAACTCTGTAAAGCGAATATAATCAGAGCCCAGTTTACAGAGTCGGTTCAGGACACTGGTCTCACTGGGGTGAAGGAAGGGCAGGTCCTGGGACACCTGAAGGTGAAATAAAGCAGTTTGACAAACCGCACAAGTTAAAACACTTTCTGTCCTCTGCCCTCACTGTTAAGACTAGTTGAGTGAAGATTAACCGTCCAAAATTGTTTAGGTGAAGCTTGCATGTGGTTTGACATTTTTCAGGGCAGACATTTTGACTTGCAGAGGTGTGAGCTACACTGATTAATGGTTCATGCATGCACGCTATGGTTTCACTGACATAAGATCAATTCCATTATTTAACAGCCACAAGTACATTTTGCAGCAATTCTGACTCAGATATATACATTAAATACATAGACAGACGTGCAGATAGACAGGTGGATAGATGTAATACAAGAGCACAAATTATCCACCTACAGTTAGTCTTAGCTTAATGCTTTATATTATTTCAACCCGTTATTCTCTCTTTAAGCTAAATAATGCTAGCAAAACGTATATCTTTACAGTCAACAAAGCTACTTGGATCTGTAAAGACATAAATGATTACCAATTTTTTTTAAAAATATGTATATATAAGTGCAAAACATTTAAGCTAGCATGTCTGTGTTAAACTGGAACCGTTATCGTATTACGGAACTGCGGTGAATTCCGGTTTTACCTGCAAACCTGTCCGTTTGTTCCAGGTGAAAATGGTCCCCGGATATCCGCTCAACGCCAGCAACAACTCGTGAATCATGTTAATTCACTTTCAGTTAATTAAAACTGAAAAAAGCAGCTGTGAGCTTCTCATTCATCCACCAAAACAAACTGCCGCCCGAGCTGTCGCAGGTTTCTACGTCAGCACGCAAAGCATCACGGGACAGATGCGAAACATCCTGTGCTACGTAGTTTTTGCTTATATCGTTTAGTTAGATTTTAAAATTTTAATGTTGGCTTTTTGGTTCGAATTTGCAGTGCTAATAGTCTTAAGTAACGAAAAATATTCTCATTTGGGTCTTAAATTAGTTTTTATAAGGTATGAAAGCTAAAATAAGCGAGGGCTAGCGTAACAACCTGTAGCTTTCAGTGTGCTCATGGGAAATGTAGTTTCCTCCGGCGAGAAGGAAGCGTCGCGAAAATTGCGTCATCAGTCGGTCATGTAGCTAGCTAGCAACACATCGCAACGGAGAGCGCTTGGTATGTCGCAGTTACTAGATAAAATAATACCCTTAATACAAACTGTACAAGCAAAGGATAGCTAGTTACCGTCATTATTAATCACTCTTGATGCTGTGTTGTAATTATTAGCGTGTCTCCTCTGGTGTGGCTAGTGCTACTCGGCTAGCCGCTTGGCTTAACTTAACGTTAGTTACCAGAGGCAGTTTGCTAGGGAAAACATTTACTGGTCAGCTTAACTAACGCACGACCACAGCAAGGCAAGTTTATAAAACACCGGCAGTATAAAACGTATTTCTGAAATGGTTTTGTGCATATATGTAGTTCATGTGGCTGTCTATTGCTATGAGTATCTGGTATTTCCTCTTATTTAACAGAATCACCGGTTTGACTATAGCTGCGTTTTTACTACTTAAGATGGCTGTTCATTATTACTTTTTATTGCCAGACAAACTGCTCGTCGATTATGCCTCGTGTTTTAATAACTACAGCTATTGTTTATGTGAAATTAGGCACGTTTTTGTACTATTATTTATATAATGTAATTGAATTAGGCGGTATCGACCAACATTTTTAGCATAAAATGTTTAATTTCAGTTAATATTGACTTTTTTTTATTTTATTGACCTGACCTGTATATCGTTGGTACATCTATCAATCTACCTATCAAGCTGTTTATTTAGCTTTCTGTTGACCAGCTACACAGCCATATGAAATCTTCTGCAGACCTAATACAAGCTACCTTTGCTTGTAACTTAGTAAGTAAATAATAAAGTGCAGAGCTTTAATTTGTCCTTCTAACCATAAACGTTGTGTTTTATTGCAGGGATGGCGGGGGAGAGGAGCGGAGAGGACATAGTTTCAGAGTACCTGGGCCAGAACCCGCAGCTGGCCGAGTGGGTCGACACATTCAGGACCTACTGCGAGAGCAACAAGCAGTGGGTTGCTCGAAGAGAGTTCATCCTGAGGAACATGGAGGCTTTCCCCACAGTGGAGCCGGGGGTCCCCAGCAGCAGTCTGGACCGGCTGCTGTCTCTGTCCATGGTCTGGGCTAATCACGTGTTCCTGGGCTGCAGGTAGGACACACCGATCGAGCACAATGAAAAACTAGAGAATACCAAGAGCGAAGCCCACAGCTGAGTAATAACTGTTTTTTTTGTTTTTTTCTCTGCTTCCCTTCAGCTATCCACAGGCTGTGATGGACAAGATCAGTGAGATGGGTGAGGGGATAGTCGTCGAGGATGTTCCTGTTCACAAAACGATGAAAGAAATCATGGCCAGAGGAAAGCGGAGCGCCACAGCTGGTAATGCAAAGCACCTTTACAGTCAAGTCATGTTCACAGTTAGTTTATGAGGTCTCTTTTGCCAGTCTTCTTTTCTTTCCACCAGAATACATTGTGGAAAATCATGACAGCTGCCTTACAATGTATACCTGGGAATACACAGTGACAGACACATAGATATATTTTGTTCTCTTTTGTATGTAAATGTGGAGAGACAGGCAGTATTAGAACCAGGTGTCAGAGCTGCATTGCACTGATTAGTGGAGAAAGAAAGAAAAACATCTGATTCCAGCTCAGTAAAATTCAATATTTCCGGTTTCTTTACTCCTCTATGTCAGTAAACTTGCTATTTTTGGATTATGGACAAAACAAGACATTTGAGGACGTCATCTTGGGCTTTGAGAAGCACCGATTGACATTTTTCACCATTTTCTGCTATTTTATAGACCGGATAACTAATCGAATAATTAATTGACAATAATCAAAAACTGCCACAAACTAGTGCCTCAAAAAATACAGTAGGGTTGAAGGAACTTCCGTCTAACACATCATCAACAAACTGAAAATCAAAGCATCCATAATCATTCAGAAAAATCTAGTTATTGTATTGTTTTTGTGCATTTGGTTTAAATTTTATGATATTTATCTTTATTGTAATCATTTCATAAACTATGTGTTTATAACTGATTATAAGAGAAATACCAAAATCTGGTTATGTTCAGTAGCCTTGAAAAGCAACATAGCAAAACCTTTCAGGGTTGTTTTCTGTTGCAGCAGGGGTTCAGTGTAATCATTCATGCGTATTATTATGTTTTTTTTGCACACCCACACACCTGAGGCCGGAGTCTGTTTCCTCATTAAATGCTGTTGCGTGTTCAGTCAACACTGTCCTTCCTGCTGTGTTTGTCACCTGCAGAGAGCGACGCTGACAGCTGTGCGAAAAGAGCCAAACTTGGGCCTAATGAGCTCGACGGTCGACCCGCTGGGAGGACGAATGCTCGGCCTGTGACTCAGAAGTCAGGACCTCTTCCTCAGGCTCCAGCAGAGCACCAGCCCTTCTTCAATCGCCTCTACAAGGCCGTGGCGTGGAAGCTGGTGTCGGCGGGCGGCTTTGGCCCCAACTTGGACCATTTTGAAATCCTGCGGAGCTGCGTGGAGTCGTGTAAGCAAACCCTGACCTGCGTGTTTGTGCCGCTGAAGGACATCACAGGCCTCCCGGCAGGTCGCACACAGAAGGAAGGCCATGTGTGCGAAATCCGCTGTCAGACTGTCTACTTGGGCACCGGGTACGGCCGCGACGAGTCCGCCGCCAAAGCCATGGCTTCCAAAGAGGCCCTCAAAGTCTTTCAGGGGCGAAAAGTGACTGTAAAGATCTGCAGGCGGAGGTACAAAGGGAAAGACGTGGAGGATTTGATGCTGTTGGACGAGCAGCCTCGAAGTCAGGGCTTTCCTCCGGCGCTCAGCTACCCTTTTCAGGACGAGCAGCTGGAAGACGGATCCTCGTAGAGAAGCTGGACCGCTGCAGCTTCAACAAGCGGTTGATCAGAGCTACTGAAGGCGTTCGCGACTGTCGGGACCAGACTGTTATGCAGTTGACCATCAAACCTGAGATTCTTTAAGTAACATAGAGCATTAACTGTCATGATACATTTACCCACAGTAGTCCGGTATCCTTCGATCTGTGCTAGATCACCACAACAGGAGAGCATAGTCGTTAAATCTGCAAAAAAAAAAAAGAACTGACTTACACTGTTTGTTTCAACCACTTTTAGTTTGACAGAGTTTTATAGACTTTAAAGTGTGGAGTCGGAGCATGTGCCATCGTTTATAACAGCTCTACTGCCAGGAAGCAAAACTAAACATAACGGATGATAAAAAGCCACCTTGGAGGACATATTGCATTATTTTGATGTGAGTATTTATCCCAGCAAATTAAAAAAATGTGTTTCGGCGGTTTCCTCATATTAGGAGTAGCGTAGAGATAGTTTTGCTCTTTCCTGTGAGACAGTTTTCTCCTGTTTTATGTCATTTTGTCCACACAAGCAGATACTTTTGTTTTAGATTCCAGCTGACAACTTACAAGGTAAACGAGTCATGAATAACTTGTTTTTTACAGTTTTGATAACCCGTCTCGCAGCCAGGGTGCAGTCAGAACTAAGACAGGAACTTTTTCCTAGGCTCGACTTTAGTGTTTATACCAGCTGGGAACAGAAAAACAGCAGATTATAAAGCCTCCATACAGATTTTTATTTTGTTATGGAATTTATTTCCAACCATTAATATCATATTTTTCGCCCTATTGTTCCCATTAACCCTTCAAATTTTAGGGTTGTTTCTCGTCGAAGGTTGTAACTGCATTCCCTGATTACCTGCACTTTAGTTGTTTTAGAGCAGGACTGGATCTCGCTGAAGTTATTTGGTGCCACTCAAGTTTGATTGTGTTGTTTTATGATTAATTAGTCAGAAAAAAAATAACCTGAAGTGTCTCTAAGTTTAAATAAACTTCTCCAAACACGGTGAACATGATGACAGCCGGCATGACAACACAGAGGTTCTGCAATCAGAGTAAAACTACAAGGAATGAAGGTTTTTTTTCTATTATGAGTTGATTCAGAGAGAAGCTGGCCGACTACAGTAATCGTTGTACTGTACACAGAAGAACTAAATGCTACTGCTTTTTCTATTTCATGATATAATTTGACTGATTTAAAAAGAAAACACTGAGACCCACACTTTGTTTAAATACTGGGGGGATCATATGAACTGATTGATTCAGTGTGTACAGTTCTGATGTGTTTGAGGGTAAAGTGCTGCTGTGAAGTGTGATTTGTGTTTCTTCTCTTGTTTTCTTTTTCCAATCTGGGTTGAAGTTGCATTAAAGTGTGAGTAACTACGCTGTTCCATGTTACGTTTACACCAGTGGTCCTGTTTCTATATATTTTTAAATAAACTGAATTTAACCAAGCTGTGGTTTTGTTTTGTTTTTTTCATTTTTTAAACCAATGAGGTGCTTTTCTGGCAAAAACAAATAGCTAATTCCAGTTTGAACTCACATGTGATAAGTCCAATCCAATCCAATCCAACTTTATTTGTAAAGCACTTTCAAAACAACCACAGTTGAACAAAGTGCTGTACACAATAGAATAAAAAATATATTTAAAATACAAATTAAATTAAATTAAAAGACATAAGACAATGACAAGCATACAATAGAAACAATAAAATGAAATAAAATAAAATCAACAATTCACTATGTGTCAAAGGCCAAGGAAAATAGATGGGTTTTAAGAAGTGATTTAAAAACAGACAAAGAAGAGGCCTGTCTAACATGCAAAGGCAGAGCATTCCATAACTTACTAATAAGTGCACAAAGTGGCCACTAGATGTCTCTACAGAATGGAAAAAGACACAATGACAATAGACAGTATACAACATTAAACTATTTATAGACATCAGTGCATCAGGAGAAATACAAAAAAGGACTGACACCGACTTCTTTATTTATTCCTGGATAACCTTTGTTCTGCATTTGCTTCATATATAAACTTTCTCCACTAATTTAAGACAAACATCCTTTTTTTGGATCATTTCTGAGCCTCCAGCTGTGAGTCTATTTGGATTATTGTTATGTTTGTTATAAAGGTGTTCAGTCAGAATACAAGCTCTCTTTTCTGATTGCATTCGTTTATTGGGAGACTCCATCTTTCAGTCATGTCTTTGTAAAAACAACTACAGCTACAAGATAAACTGTTAGAAACATAAGTAATATGTCTAAAATAATAGTAATAACTTTATTTGTATAGCACAGTTTATACAGGAAGTATAAATCAAAGTGTCTTATGTCAATAAAATTATAAAGTAAATTAAAAATACAAATAACAGTGGTAAAACATAACATATAAAAGCCTATATCTAAGGCAAAATACAAGTCATAATTACATAAAAGGTATGTTGTCTTTGCACCACTTATAGTATTTTTATCTGTTACTTTCCGATCGAAATCTAAAAGAATATTGCTTCAACTATAGTCAGAATTATTTGTTTAGTAGCTGATTTGACAATTTTTCTACATCAAATCCATAAATATTTAAAAGGTGGGCATACTTTTTGTAACTTTAAACATTTCTTTATGATTAAGGATGTTTTTATTTAAAAGTACATGTAAAAAATCATATTACACTTGATATTTAAAGACTCGAGACAAGTTTTGCCGTGGTATTATGATGTGGTTTACGTGTGATATATTTAAAATCTAAAATTATATAATAAAACCCAACCAAAAATGACACTTTTCAGCAACACTCAGCCTTATTATTTGTATTATAGTATTATTTTTGCCATGTTTAGACATAATTTCATCATTTTTAAACATGTAAATAGCATTAAAACCCCCAAAAGTTCATGTAAAATTACCTGAAGGCTAAAGACATATTTTTCCAATGGTCTTTTGATGTTTACAAAATTATTTTTACATAAAAATGTATAGCAAAACCCTATTTAAATGGCATTTTTCTGCAATATTAAACCTAATTATTTATTTGATCACATTACTTTATTACAAAATGACAAAAAAGTACACATGATCTTACATAAAATGACTTATGTGAATATGTTTTGTAACTATATTGTTTTTGTGTTATTTTGGCGCTTCAGCTGCCAGAATATTTCTGTTTTTGTCGTAGATTTCTTCTTACATTACAGTGTATTTTGACCCTCCTCACCTTTTATTTGGCTTCTAGCTGCAGCAGCAGAACACATGTTTGTGTTTCAGTCTCGTAAAAATCAGATGCAGTCGTTCTTTCTGTCTTAATGATCTCATTTGACAATTTCCAACAAATACAGTGAGAATAAATGTTTTGTCCGCATGTCGAATTGAGCCACATGTGGCCTCTCATTAGTTCAGACAAACGGAGCTGCATGAGTCAGCTGCTCATTAGAGTCGGTCAGTCACATTTTAGCAGAGCTGCATCACACTATTATGAACTCGCAGTGATTTGAGTGACATTCAGGCTGGAGCTCGTCCCTCCTTTGACCTGCTGTTTATGTAAGCAGGACGTCGCCTTCAGGCCTCATCAGCACAGCGGAGCGGACTGGATTCACATGAGCGGGCTGTGTTGCTTCCACTTCATTAGACACGTGAACACGAGCGCTGATACGATGATTCAAACAGGTTGTTCCCTGAGCTGTGGCAGGAAGTCACATCCAGGAGAAATATCAACCCTGCTGCCCTCAGTAGTGGTTTATGTGCAGCATGTGTGTATTTTCACACCTGAACACACACAGATGAACATTTAATTGAGTTTATTTTAGAGAAATCCTCAAGAAGTACCACTAGAGAGCAGCAGTGTTTATATCAAACATCCCGTGATAAGTTTGGGCTGTCTGCTTTTGATTTTAAAGGGTAATAAGCAGTGTGTCTTAGAAAAAAGTTCATCTAACTTGGTAAAAATACTAAAAGCATGTTAGCTCTTTGTTCTCTCATTAAAGTCACCACTGGTGGTTTGTGTTTCTGGTGTGTTCTGTTGCATCTTGTGATATATTTTAGCCAATTTAACCTCTTAACAGCCATCTTGTTGTTGTTGACCCGTTTCAGTCAAATATTAATTCACAAACTAGAATTTCTCACCTTTCAAATTAAGCCTCACACCTACGTTTTGACTGCAGAGTTTTCCATTTGGGTCTATTACATCTTAAAAATCGCACAAAAATCCCTGAACGTGAAGGAGTTTGATTGAACATTTAGTTCTTTTTTTGTACCTTTTACTCGTTTCCTTTTCTTTTAAAGATATGAAATAAATATTGCGAGGACGAGTGAAGTCTGAAGATATTTATGTTTAATTTTTAAGCAAACCGCAAATCTCTAAAAGTGAGAAAAGAATTTTTTTAAAAAACAACTGTTATCAGTGCTGCATCCCCTCACTGCTCTCCTATAGGGAAGGTGCTGCCTTCCTACTTTAAACCAGCCAATCCGGACACATTCGTAATCCAATCACATCTGAGAACCCACCTACTCAGGTAACCAATAAAGAAGCGGCTTATTAGGCGTGTTTCCTCTTTGACCTCCAGGACAGTATGGCTGCTGCAAGAATGAAACTCAGGTGAGAACCTCTATTAACTTCATGTATTTTCTAACAGGTTGCTTGCTTCATTCAGACGCGTAAAGTTTACATCACAAAGACCAGTTTTCTCTGAAGCCACTGACCTACATAAAGTAAGCAGACAAACTAAACTGTGTCGTTCATGTCCACCTCTATCAGCAAAAGGTCTGATACTTCTATAGAATAAACAACACAGTTTTTAGATCCTTTATTTGATCAAAAGTACAAATACAGCAAAGAAGAAATCCTGCATCACAAACAAAACCTGCCATTAAAGATCCTACTTGAGTAAAAGTGTGCAAATATTGGCAGCAAAATGCACTAAAAGAATTTAGGTCCTTATATCTGAGGTCATTAGATTATTGAAGCATCAGTGTGTCAGCAGCAGGTTTAAACTACGATATATTTAGTTCCAGCAGATAAATCTGAGGCCTGCAAACGTGATGAATGGGAGAGAAATGGAGAAAAGTTCTGATCTGTTTTCTCCAGTCTTTGATTTTTTTGAGATGTTGGATCATTTGAAGATTTATTGAAAACGTGAGGGATTAGCCAACTCATAGACGTTTAAAATGTGAGTTCGACTGCACACTTTTTGTAAGAAGTCAAAAAGTTTGACAACTGCTGATTTAATCTGTGTGTTGTATTTTAAAATCTTGTTTTATTACCGATATTGTGTAAAATCTCCATCATAAAGCTGCCCGATAAATGCAGCAAGTACAATATTTCCCTCTGGAATTAAGCGGAAGGATAACGCAGCATATGATTGAGTACAGGACTCGAGTAAAAGTACTTAGTTACTTTCTACCTCTGTCTAAAACACATAAATCAGGTTTTGACTTGAAGCATGAACATAAACCTTCAAATAGCAACTAAACCAAATGTGGAAAAGTTCTGATATACTCCACTTGTTGCTCTGCTCGAGGCGTCCGAGTGAACCTGAAGTTATCTGACTTAACACGTAAACTGCCTTCAAACTGGTTGATTAAATGCAACTGCAAAAAATTCTAAACATTATTGTCAAAAAGTTTTTCAAAAAACTGAGAAATGGGGACTGATTACAGAAGCTAGAACCAGAAACTAGCAGGAAATGATACTGTGTAACTGAATAAAATCAAGTGAGTCTGGATACAGAAAGACAGCGAGGCGACAGGGATCATTCAGAGAACTGTGTTATAAAAAAGTTTGGAAACAAAAGTTGTTGGAGAATTTGTTTGAATGAAGTCCAACCAGACTGCAGTAAAGGTTCGGTACAGTATGGAGGCCAGGAAGTCAAAGTCTGGGGCAGTTTTAGAGGAATTTTTAGATGCAAACATTTAAAAAAAAAAATCAACCAAAGATTACCACAACTGACAGAATATTTCTGCAGGATAATGATGTGAAACACACCAGATGCTGAGAAGAATAATTAACCCAACAAAAGTCTCAATCCGCCCACAAGCTTGGTCCAAATCCCACAAAACACCTGTTGGATGCCGTTAAGGAAGATAAATGTCAACTCGTCTGTGTTCTTGTGCAGACTATCGGAAAGCTTTGAAACATGGAGGACGTTTTCACCACAGCTGCTACAGACTCACGCAGACGTGGTCGAGAATCACACGAAACTAAAATATGTGTCAAAGTAAAATGAAGCTCTGCGGTGATCATTGGTTTACCTTCTATTCATAACTACCTGCAGTTATGTTTAATGATTTTAGAGAATTATGGCAAACTGACTACGGCTAATATGCTGTTTGCAATCATTTTTTTCAGATTTTATTTGATTTCTGGTGTCACGATCCACTGGTGGGACCCCAGTTAGGAACACAGGCAATTTCACAGCAAACAGAAAAAATCCATAAAAACAATATAAAATATTAAGACCTGCTG